ACAGCTAGGGGAGTCACCCTTAAAAAACCTTCGGGAGTTTAAAAAATCGTCACGCTTAACCTGATGATGGCAGCTAAGCGAAACTTTCAACCCTCAAACACCCTGTCCATCTCTTCCAAACGCAAAAATTCCCGTCGCTTGATCTCTAATGGTTTAGCAAAAATTGGCGCTTTTAGACAGCCGGGAGTGACACACTTAATAACGCTTCGGGGGTTTAAAAATTCGTCACTTTAAACCTGATGAAGGCAGGTAACCGAAACTTTCCGTTCTGATCCATAGAGTCCGTCTCTCTCGAATGCAAAAATCCCTGTCGCCCCATCTCTTTTGGTTTAGTTCAAATTTACTCTTTCAGGCAGCCGAGGAAGCCACCCTTAACCAAGCTGCGGGATTTAAAAAATGCGCTACGCGACACCTGAAGATGGCAGGAAAGCGAAACTTTCAGTCTTCGATTGGGAACAAATTTTTGTAAATTTTTCTATCAACACACCAAACTGACCTCAACACTCGTTATTCAACATTCGCACTTCTGCGATCGATTTCGCAACGAATCATTTAAATCGTTAGCTGCCGTGTTGCGAAATCGTCGAAAAAGTTGTGAAAACTGAGAAGAAATCCCAATTGACCCCGATTCTACACAACTGAACATCTTCGATTTTCTAGTTCACGACATGATTATGCGTACGGAAAATGATGAAATTATGCAAATCCATCATTACACGTGCGGCTGTGCAACGGTTGACATTTAAAAACCACTGAACGGTACCTGTTTTACCGACCAAAACAGCATGCGTTAATCTAGTGACCGGCAAAAGTCGTTTACCTTTTCACGGAATTCCTTAGTTTCACCTGCCGGTTTTATTGCCTAACAAACGAAGAAAAGTGACCAGCCTTGGCACTGTTGCCAGAGCTTCGCGTTTTTCCTAAAATATCTACTATTGGAATTCGACTGTTTCTATTGCTAGAGCAACAATGTCAAATTATGCTGACAAGAATGACAAATTGATGACAGGAATGACAAATAATAAAGTATCACTAATGAGAAAAATCCCTATCCAATGTTGCCAGGTTTTCAACTTGTCAGATCACTAGCTCCATTTTTTGCGTTCAATTATCAAGATTGTCGTCCAGTAGGGATTTTATTTGGATTTACGAAAACTGTATTGTTGCGTGCAGCGTTGCCAAATGTCCATGATGTTTTCCAAACATTTCCAGTAATCAAACTTGGCGAATATTTTAATTTCTCTGTTTTAATTCCCTCGCCATGGTTGCCAAATTGCAAGAAATTCACGTTCAATATTTTCAGACGTTCTGCGCATTCACACTGTTGCCAAGTTCTGATAGAATTTTCAAAGTTGTCGTTAAGTAGACTTTGTTTGGGTTTCTAAAAATTCGGAATTGTTGCCAATTACAAATCGAAACGCTATACAGTGTGCAGTGTTGCCACTATTTCCGAGATATCTCAACTATAATTGAAATTTTTCAATACTCCGTAAAAAAATGCTTCCGCTTCAACTGGTGCCAAATATTGCCGTTTGCTGGTGATTTTCACATTTGCCCGATTTCCAATATTGCCAAGTTGTTGTTTTCTATTACTATTACAGATTCTCTTTCACCAGTTAACTTTATCCAACAAACAATCTATTGATTCAAATGATATGTTTTCCAGCTTTATCTACTGCCAGCGTTGTAAAATTTACAATTTTCCCCCGAAGCCTGATAAAAAAGTCGAATTTTCCATCGCTGTTAAATTCGGATTTTGGTCTTTCTCGATTTATTCTCGATTAAAATCGAAATTATCACACTTGGACGGCACATTGACAACGGTGCGATGTTGTCAAATTTTTGCCATTCGATTGAGATTCTCAACCTAGTTGATCACTAATGACAATAATCCCGATCCAATGTTGCCAGATGTTCAATTTGTCGGAGCACTAGCTACATTTTTTTGCGACGCTATCAAGCCTCCAAAGTTTGACGTACTTTACGTAGTTTCGATTAGCTAAAAAATCCAATCATTTGCTTGCGACGTTGCCAAATGTTCGACTATTTTAGTCAACTTACATCAGCACACGATTGCCATATTTCCTCAATCCAAGCAAAACGAGGCCTTCTACTTTAAATTTACAACGGTCTTCACCGTTGCAGTGTTGCCATATTTTTTATACTTCCACAAATTGAGCCAACCAGTTAAGCTTAGTGGAGACGTGGGCCAATTCAACATGGGGCATTGCTGCCAGATTTCATCTTCTTCAATGTCAATTTAAGTCCGATTATGCAAACGAAAATAGTTTCGTGAGCAATGTTGCCAAAACATCCACATTTTTTCACACACTGAGAATGTAGCGTTGGCTCTTTCAATGTTGCCAGACGTTTTTTGTTTGTTTCGCCAATTTCGGTTCGATGGAACGCAGCAGCATGAAAACAGATGTTAACGA